ATGAGCCCAAAGCGCATGTCTCCATGTCCAACGCTATCTGGACACGATTTAGTACCACCGGTATTCATGGCGCCATCTCGGCAATCGGAGGATCTCGCCCCGTACATCTAGTACGTTGGTCAATAATGTCTTTGGTTGTACAATATTACACGTATTTCGTAGTCAGCCAACGGAGTTCTGTAGAGGATGCCACTGCAAAATTTAATTGCGAGCGAAGCGAGCATTCACTAATCGATTGCGAGCGCAGCGAGCCCTGTCCACCGGCTCTTTTTTGCATGTACCACTGTCTTGATCATAGGCGACCCTGCCTGGCGGATTTTGTCACGCTTTTGACTTGAATTAACTACCACACACTGTAGCCAAGTGATTTGAGACGATCAGCGACGTTGTGGCCAGATACAGCTTGCTACATGGGTGAGATCCCACTGTCTTGATCATAGGCGACGCTGCCCGGCGGATTTTGTCACGCTTTTGACTTGAATTAACTACCACATAATTTAGCCAAGTGTTTGGAGACGACCAGCGACGTTGTGGCCAGATAGCCTGCACATGGGTGAGATACCACTGTCTTGATTGTGGGACCAGATCGATGGGGCCGGATGGCCAATCAACGCTGTTTGAGGTTTCTGGGACCAATCATCGACCCCCACGTACTATATTGGCAAATTCCACGTCACCTCCATGACATAGACACGCAACACTGTTTCACCTGTGGCGCGTGAAGTTGGTCTCCAGCCATTCGACAGCATCCGGATACATCCGGATAATAAATTGATTGGCTTCAAGTATCGGCGCAGCTGGACACCGAAGCAAGCCATAATTTACGGCCTCCCTCAGGGCTTCCCTCATCTCCTTGACAGGCCGAGTGCGCAGCCTTCGATGCCACCGGCACCCTGGGTCATGCCGGCACGTACTAGTATACTTATACATATGTACGTGGCAAAGAACGGAAGAAAGGCACAGAGCGCACAGCGCCTCATGGCCCTTGAAACACGCTCTGATTCCCGTGTTGGAAAGTGTCGAACTGATTTGTGGGTTTCTTTTTGGGGTTTTTGCTCACCACTGTTTTGTCAAACATATATTTACTGTTGGTCGAGATGTTTGTCAAATGCCCGCTCGGTGTTAATGTATTGAGCATATATGATGCATAGCACCGCTTTAGTAGATGGGATAAAACAAGGAAGAGAAGAGATGCACGGCTTGCTGACAAAATAGCCCACTTCAATGTCTAAAAGCACAACAGACTAAAATCGTTTCGGACAATATGTAGGATCGAACACACGCCCTTGGACACGTAAATCGTGCGCAGTACCACAGAGCCAAGTCGACAATTTGGTGGCGTTTCCGTCTCCTCGACGACAACTTGCTCGAGAGCCACGATTTGGTCGCTGCGTCTACGCTGCTCCTCTCGCAGCCCAGCTATCGCACGCTGACTGCCAAATACCCGTTGGGCCTGCAGCCCAATACAGCCGTCGGCTAATTCGCACGCACGCAGCAGCAGCGGCGCGCCGCGCCTCCAGCCTGCTCAACCAACGACGGCCTATTCAACACTGGAGTCCCCTGATAGCAAAGTTTACAGGCAAGGACTGTGATGGAAAAAATAGTAGACATAGCAAAACTTACGCTGTGAATACATTTCCCTTTGACAGT